ATCTGAGAAAAAAAAAATTTAGTACTTTTAAAATAACTTTTGATTTTAAATTTTATAAATAAAAAAATAAATATTAAAATTATTTTTTTATAAAATTTGATATGACTTGAATCTAAATTAATTAAAATTTAATATACTTATCATATATTGAAAGATTTATTAAAAAAATAATAATAAAAGGTCATTTATATCCTAACTGCCCACAAGTAATTGTTAATTTCGAGGATTTTGTTCGCTATCCTTCGAAGTAGAAAATTACAATTTAGCATCGGTAAAAGAGAGTTTAAAATAGTTCAGGAACCATAAAATTTTCATTAGATTAAAGAATTGTTTGGTGTAAGAGTTTAAACTTAATAGTTAATCATTTTATTCAAATAAATAAATAAAAATATTTAAAAAATTAATAATAATAATTATTAACAATTAAATTTGACTTCTATAATGCTTATTATGTGCATTGCTTAGTTTATCAATTACAATCAGCTCTTATTATTGTAGCTAGAGAAGCAACTGATGTTCATGCTTTTTTTTTTTCAAAATTTGACTTTTATAATTAACATTGTCAAGTCTTTTTGCAAGTATCATGATAAGTTGCAAGCTATATATGCACTTGAAATTGCTCGTTTAGTTGAAATTAATGAGATTGAAATAAAGAGAGGAGCCAATCAATTGGGCACTTTACAAAGACCAACGGACACAAGATGGAGTTCTCATTTTAAGTCAATATGCAACCTTTTACGAATGTTTACTCCAATTGCCTCGGTCCTTGAAAATGTGGCTATTGAAGGATCCACATACTCTCAAAGAAGTGATGCTACTTTTGCTCTTAAGTCATTGTTATCATTTGACTTTGTCTTTATTTTACATTTGGTGAAGGAAATCATGGGAATTACTGATAAACTTTGCCAACCTTTGCAACAAAAAAATCAAGATATTTTAAAGGTTATGGGTTTAGTATTTAGTACAAAATTTTTGCTTCAAGATCTAAAAAATACTAGTTGGGATACTCTTTTACATGATGTCACTTCTTTTTGTGAGACTCATTCCATCCAAATTCTTGATATGAGTGTTTCTTTTTGTGACATAATTTGTTCTCGTCGAAAAAAGAATGATGTAACATTTGAGCATCATTATCGAGTGGATATATTCACAACTGTGTTAAATTATTAATTGAAAGAATTGAATTATAGATTCAATGAGCAAGCTATAGAACTTATTACTTTGGATCCTCACAATAACTATAAATCATTCAGTATTGATGACATATACAAACTTATGGAGAAGTGTTATCCTTTATATTTTTCAGATCAAGAAAAGATTTGTCTAAACTATGAGTTGCAACATTGTAAGCTTGATGTACCTGCTCATCCAAGGTTTCAGAATTTATCTACTATTTCTGAATTATGCCAAGTGTTGGTGGAAACTAGATAATTAAAAGTTTTTCCTCTCATTGATAGATTGATTCAACTTGTTTTAACTCTTCCTATGTCAACGGCAACTACTAAACAAGCTTTTTTAGTTATGAAAATCATCAAAACAAGGCTCTGCAACAAGATAGAAAATGACTTTCTCAAAGATTATATGATTGTTTACATTGAAAAGGAAATTGCAAAAAAATTTACTAGACTTGATTATAGATGATTTCTACTTCATGAAACAACGAAGGGCATAGCTTAAAAATTAAAGGTACATACTTTTTGCTATCTTTATTTACAATTTAAAATCTAATATTTCGCTCCCCTAAAAAAAAAATTCTGGCTCTGACCCCTTAGTCCAACCAAATAATATGCACGAAAATCGATGTAGGCTCCCCCAAAGCTACCATCCGCCTCCTCTTGCAACCCCTATTGTGTGCACATGGCTTTCCATAAATGTCTGGAAGTTACTTAAAATGTTTTGTATGTGTTTTAGTTTTTATAGTTTGTAGGATAAAAGTATTAAATTTATGCATGTGACCTCCACTATTTCCCTCTGCGATAATATGTATTCCTTTTGTTTATCTCGTTTAATTCCTTTGGAGTGCTTGATATAGCTAGTGAAGGGTATAAGAGGAGTGGACAAAATGGAGAGAAGTCACAAAACATAGAGGTGACAAAAAGCCATTTGGTTTTTTGACTTTGCTGCTTAATTCCATCATTAAATATAAAAGATTCAGTAACTGGCAAGAAAAAAAAATTAATGTGTTGTGTAAACATTTTTCTTATTGATTGCTTTCACTATAGTTTCTCCTACATCTTTCATTCATGCAGTAAAACATCTATAAAGAAACACGCACACACATATAAAAATATCTTTTATTTACACACACAAATACGCACATACAATTTGGTACATGACCATCTTCTCGTGCTTCATGTTGAATCAACTTATTAGTGCTCCCTAGCCTAAATTATCAATTGGACTCAACGTTTGGTTACCCTCTGCTCTGCCTCCATTGCCTGCAACATTATTAATGAAAACCACATTCAGGTCACTCACCAAAAAACATAGAGTTTAACAAAAAAACAGCAAACACAAATATATATCTATAGAGTATCTATGTATAAGTCAATGAATTAAAAGAACCTTTTTATTCCAGTCTGTGAGGGCTGTAATAAGAATCAGGAGTGCTGTTTGAACAACAGAACCAGCTATAAAGCCGATCCAAAGACCCTTCCCTCTTAAATGTGCTATGAAAGCCAGTATAGCAGCCACCGGAAGTCCAACGAGATAATATGCACCAAGATTGATGTAGGCTCCCAAAAGCTGCCATCCGCCTCCTCTTGCAACCCCTATTATGTGCACATGGCTTTAAATAAATCTCTGGAAGGTACTAGCAATGTTTTGTGTGTGTTTTAGTTTCTATACTTTTAAGACTCAAGAGTCATAGTCATAGGATAGATGTATTGAATGTATGCATGTGACACAACCTTTAACTTCAAAACATTAATAGGAAATTAAGGTTAGACATTAACCAGAAAGAACTCCTTGTAGGCTGTCCATGATAATAGATGCACAAATCAGAGGGTCCATGGCTGCAATATATTTCACAACCTGTTTGTCATTGCTGTAAGCATATCCTATAACAGACCGGCAGCTTAGGAGAATTGTGCCAACGATGACTGCCTCTGTAAAGGCGAGAAAGAATGCAGCCACCACTGCTACTTTAGCAGCTTGAGGGTTCTTATCACCTAACTCATTTGAAACTCGTGTGCTGCAAGAATGGCGTCAAGACTGGTTTAACTTGAAAGCTTAGCTAATAGAAAAAGGCAAAAAGATAGGCACAATGCCTTACCTTGCAGCAGCACCAAATCCATATGGTATAGTGAAGTGCATAGTGGAGATTGTAAGGCTGAGATCATGAGAAACATCCAATGTTGTTTTCTTATTCTACATTTTATAATGGTAATACCAACAAAAATAAAAGTCCAAAGCGAAAATACCATATAGATAGCACAGATGTCTCTAACTTTGGATTTGGTAAGAGGCCTGACAGCAAGGTTAGCAGCTCCATTGACCACCACTTAAGGCTTATGCAAACAATAGCACAAAATGATTTAGTAATTGTAAAGAGAAACAGGATTTAATTAAAGAAGTTTTTGATAGAATTAGGATTAACTTGCGCATCACATATGTGTATGAATAAGGAACTTTTCCACACACTTATAATTTCCGAGATGGTAAATAAGAATATTGACTGTTTATTCATGTAAATTATGCTAGATAAATCTCAAGTTGATCTCAACAAACATCTATAACCATTTGATTAAAAAAGTGTATTTTCTAATATATATTTCAAATGAAGATACTCGAGGTAGCTATAAGGTGCAAAGAGAAGAGAATTATTACCAGATCATTATAGCTGAAGCAATACCAAGCTTAAAGAATTTCCCAATATTTTCAAAGGCTTCCATGGAAAATGATGCCCGTGTTCTTCTACAGGCAGGGGAGAATTTTATATAAAACCCAAGGATTGCCACAGTCAGCCAAGTGGATAAACTAGTTGCCACTGCTGCACCAAGATACCCCAATCCTGATTTGAACACAAGAAGCCAGCAAACAAGCACATGGAAACATAGAACACAAAAGGAGCTGTAGAGCATTGGACGAGTCAAACTCTGAGTTTGCAAGAATCTTGTTATGGCTTTAAGGGTTGCAGATCCAAAGAGTGCAGGAATGAGGCAAATGGAGAAGTTGCGTGCATGACGCGAGATTGTGGGATCTTGTCCTACGAGAGGCAACAATTTGTCGAAGAAGATCCAGAGGACGCAAACTGGAGGGCAAATCAGAGAAAGGGAGATTACGCCACTGTAGGTATACACTCCAAGCTTGTGGTATTGTCGTGCTCCATAAGCTTGTCCGCACAGAGTTTCCAAGCCACCAGCCATTCCCGACTGATATACGTAAGACAAAATTCAAAAGAATTAACATATTGATTTATACACTTGTAAATATTTTTGGATAGTTATTTCTATAGTTGGAAGATATGAATGAGAATATTGTCATTCCAAGTTTTGTGATCAGAGATTTTAGTGGATATTGAAAAAAAAAAAGAAAAAAGAAAAAAAAGAGAAGAAGAAAACAACTGGTTTTCAGGGGTGCGTAGACGAGGCGTTTGCAAGACCTTTTTTCTTTAAAAGTTTTGGTGTTTTTGAAATTAATCTTTCGTGAATTGTGAGTCACTTTGTTTTGACATGAGATTTCATGAAGGCTGCTCCAAGGGCTCCCTATTAAAGCTGAATTACGAAAAAAAAGGTGTGCAATATCAACAACAATGATCTCCTCTGTTTGTTTTGCTTTCAGGAGGTGGAATGCCACATACCATGTTTTTGTTAGATGCTCAAAAGTTCAAAATTTATGGCAAAGATGTTAATGGTGGTGCGGCTTACATTTTACAACTCCAACATCAAACAATATGCTGTATGAAAGCCACCGTGCTGGCATGCAAAAATCACATTTAATAGGATGGCAACCTTGATCAAGAAAACAGTCCAGAAATCATGAAGCTTCTATTGGAAATAAATTCATCAAAAGGATGTAATGAATATACATAAAAAGAAGTATTTTTTTTTTTTTTGACCAAGTAGATGGTTAGGAAGTTAGTAGAGTTAGTTTGTTAGCAGCTGAAATTTTTTCAGGAAAGTGAACGTTCCGCCCCCTCATTTGAGGCGCGCGATCATTAGGTCGCAAGTTGGTGGAGTTCACGGCAGTGGCAGAGTTCGAAGCCCTGACCTCCGTCTCACCCAAGCCCTAAAGCTTGGGGCCAACCAATTGGGCCACAGGCTCAGTTGGCACATAAAAAGAAGTATTGTATAGTTTAGTTTGTGTAATTTAAATAAGATAAAGCCCCTTAGGAACGAAGTTGCTTTTTTTTTTTAATAATTTTTATTTTATAATTTAGTGTGGCTTAGATTATAAAAGATTGAAGACTTAGGGTTTGTTTGGATCAGCTCCTAGGAGTTTCAGCTTTTGAAACTATTTATATTTCATGAATTTAAATTTTCCTCTTAAAAACATATACTTTTAAATATTTTTTTAACCTAAAAAAACTCTTAAATAATAAAAATTTAAAAGTTTCAAATCCAAACTTTTCATAAACTTTTTTTTTACTTATTTTTCACTCACTTTTTTATATTTTTTCACATTTCTAAAAGTTAAAACTCTATTTTCTTTTCAATAAAAATTTATATTTATCACTCATAACAGTACTAAAAAAACAAAAGTTCTTACCAGCTACATCAAAAAAGCTCTTATTTGCATAAATGGAAAAAAGAACTTTTCAGCCGCC